CACGGCAGCCACATGCTCACAGGCCAGAAGCCCCACCTGGGGCTTCCGGCTGGGGGTGCAGGCCCGCTCTTGTTGGAGCTCGCCGGGCTTCCCCTGGGTCCTACTGTCCTTGGTTCCTGTCATTTTTGAAATATTGATTTCAACAGAGAAATATTGATTTTCTACATTTTTTAGGGGCCCTGCGGGCTGGAATGAATGGTCTCGCGGGCCAGATCAGGCCCGTGGGCCATATTTTGCCCACCCCTGTACTATACTAACCAAATAAGCTAGCACTCATTTTTTACATGAATTTACTAATCTTAACTGGCTGGCACAGGCCCATTAAAACATCTTTTTTAATGCTTTTCTGATTTTATGACAGTACACTAGGTCAGACTTTCAAAAATGGGAGGAGGAAAAACAAACAAACAAACAAACAACTTACTGGTATTGAAAATTCCTCAGCCAAATACTTTAACAATGATGCTTCTCGAGCTAAAAAGTTGCTTCTCTCTGTCAGGTTGCCTTGAAGTTTGGTATCAAACTCTTTTCTGACTACTGAAGCAACAGAATCAATTATTATAAGTTTAACTTTCTTCGAAATAATTTCTTCTTCCAAAGACTCAATCCTTCAAAAAAAACAAAACAAAACAAAACTTAGCTGAAACAATACCATTAAACAGAATAATGCTAGTTAACACTTAAAAACCCCTAAGAGGAATATTTTACAGGCCTGAAGCTGATCATATATTTATTAGGGCCAAACTTCTAACTGCAAGCTGTTATCATTGGATGGATAGGATGATGTAGAAGCAACAAGGATACTGCAGTCAGCCCTGTAATACAAAGTGCCTCTCCCAGAGTGGGGTCTGGAGGATCCACAAAATGTGTATTTTCAAGTCCCAAGTCTATCCTGTGTAACCTCTGTACAAAGAAGCACTGTATGTGCAATGCTGTGCAATTCTAGCTCACTCACAATAGAAGCATCCCATTTCTAGCAGGGAGCCCTGTACAAACCCAGGACATGGTTCTGTTCTATATACTTATGAAGGTAACAAAAATGGCCAAATAGCTTTCATATATGCATACACTCTCATAGGGCTGCAGCTATTACACAGATTGGGTACTCTGCCATTAACACAAGCAGCATGGCATAACCTGTTTTCATGATAATGTATCTTCACATGTTGACCCAAAATAACAACATGAAAGCACAAGATCACATAATGGCCTTTCTGGCTGATAGTTGAGAAAGGACTCCTCCTCTCCTAGAATCATAAAATGTAGGGCTGGAAGGGGCCTCCAGAGGTCATCTATTCCAACCCCTAGTACTGTTGCAACAAGATCCAAAGATCTCCTTTTCTTCATTGCTGATGGGGTGGGGGGAAAATGTTGCAAGAAGACACTCATGGAAGAACAGGGAGCTACTTTTACTCACTCTACTAAAGACTGACCGAGAGCAAACCAAGTCCCCATTAGATGCACAGATCCCATAAGAACAGGGGTAGGATTTAATTATTTATTTATATCCTACCATATCCAAAAGGCTCAGACTAGCTTACAATAAATAAGCAACCTACAGGCAACCCAGACAACACCCCAAAATCTAAATACTTTAATTCCCCCTTCCCCCACTGCCTCTGTCCAACCCCCCACACAAGCAAACCAATCCAAACCATGCCTGCCAACCGCC